CAAACTATACCACTTGCCCAGTTAATAAACAAGTTACAGAAGGACGCACAGTTTCGAAGCACTCTATAAACAGATATTAATAAATCATTAAATAATTAAGATAATTCTCTGTTCTTTTTCTCTGGCACTCCCAAGCTGATAGATGTTACCATAGCAACAGAGGAGCAGGAGTGGGGCAGGGGGAATGCAGGGCTGGGGAGGCGATGCTGGCTGGGGACCTTTGCTCCCCAGCCCTCCAAAAGTCACGCAGGGCAAGCGGAAGGGGCTGCGAGAGGTGACATGCAGGAAGGAGGCTTTCAATTTTAATGGAGATTCTTACGATGACAGTCTATGCAAATAGGTACATGAAAGAGGAGAGGAAACAGACTGGGGGAAGGGGGAGAGAAATTAACCCTGGTTCAGATTTCAAAGCCAAGACAGGAATAATTTTTGGGAGTTAAGAATAGTTGCAATGCACCTTGTTCTCCTTGGGCTCGAGCCCTGCATAATCCTTAGGCTCAAGGTCTGAAATTCCAGCAGGGGGGTGAGGGTGGGAAGGAAGGCTAGCCTGCACAGTCCAGGAAATACGGCTGTCCAGGCTGCAGCTCCATCACCTTTATGGTTCCTTTGTGTCACCAAAAGGGACTATGTGACAAAGGACCCGGCCCTCTGCTTTCGAAGGGCCCTTGCAGTTGTTTTGCAAATGAGATTGCTTGATTGGTGAGCAAAATCAGAGATCTTTTGAAGCTCTTGCCCAGGAAAGGGGGAAGGAGGGGGATTCCATTATCCCCCACAGTAAATAGAAGTTTCTTTCTGATCCTATTGAGAGTTGTTGAGAATGAACCAAAGCAATTTTGAAATTATTTTTAGGTAAAATTAATCAGAAATCCCAGGAAAATGCAACAGCTTCTTCCAGAAAGGAGCAGTCTGCTGAGGTCCTTGGAGAAACTCCTGTTCCTGCTGCAGCCCCATCACGCTCCTTGGGGACAGCCAAGTGAGAAGCTGCCCTGGCTTCAGTCAGCCCCTGCACAGGCGAGCAGGGGGCTTTAGCTTGTTGGGGAATCCACTCGACTGACACTAAAGGACAGCTTCACCACTAAGCCCAGGGGACCAGTCTGCAGCTCTTGGGGAGCTTATTTGTGTAGAACATGTCAATACCTATGCAGGCACTCACTGGGAGATCTCCTTTTTTGATCAGAAAACAGCTTCTGCAACAAAAAAAGTGCCTGTGGGAAGACAGGGATGCTGCTGACAAGAAATCATGTTTTGTTGGAGGTGAACTGGAACCGGGTGCTTTACTTCAGCTGCCCCCCAAATTTTTCATTTTAGTTGCATTCAGCACCAAAATGAACTTTCTCGAAAAGGCTTCTCTTCTTTTCTGTGTGTGGGGCTTGTGGCTGAGCTGTATTTACTGAGAACGACATGGACCTTGCCCAAGCTTTATGGGAGCTGGGCAGAGGTCCCAGGGAGCACAGCCCAGAGGAGAGAATGGGACCCAAACCCAAGGAAAAGCACTGCCTACTTTAATGTTAAACAGACTTGAAATGAAACATTTCATGTCAGTTCAACAAATTGAAACAAAACATTCCTACCTCAGAAACGTCAAAATGCTTCACTTTGATCCAAAAAATATCAAAACAGAACACGGAAACATTTCTGAACATGACTGGTTTAATTCCAGGAAACCATTTTCCCCCCCCTTTTTTTTTTTTTTTCTTCATTTTGTTCCATTCTGGAAAACAGAAGCAGAAATTCAAAATTTCACATAGCTCTGCCTAGAGCTGTTTACCACAGGAGGGACCAACATTGCCTGTACACACCTATGTGCACAAGCACCCTCACTCAGTATATCCACTGCAGCTCTCAGGGGCACCCCCAGACCTCTCTCCAGACTGGTTTCACCACCCATACAGCAGCCAGACCTCCAGTCCCACTGCCAGAGGATGCCCTTGAGCTTAAGCAGGTCCCAAGTCTTGGATCCTGTACAAGTGCACTGTCAAACACAAGCACTGGCTGTCCACAAGCTACCCTAAAAACAGGGTGTTTAGGATTGGCACAGCCATCACTCGTGTCACTGCAGGGTTCACACATATTCCAGTTCCTGTTAGAGTCCTCCCACTCTCAGACAGGGCAGACATAGGGTTTCGTCTAACCCATTTCAGACCTCATAGTGTCAAAGTGAATAGTGAGGAACTGGTTTGAATAATCCCCTACTTTGGGGAGCAATGCTAAAAGCAGCACTTACTGAAAGAGAAGAGGGAGGGTTGCAGGAATTTCACAACTTCAGTACAATTTGACTAGTGAGCTTAATTGGTATTGCTGAGGATTATGGACAAGATCCATAGTCACACATTTCTAATCATGTGCTGCATGCCCAAGGTGGATCCACAGGGCTATTTTCACCTCAGTAGGTGTAATCCTAACACTGTGTCTAGGGACAGTTCAACACCTCTGAGTGGACATCACTTACAGTATTCTTGCCCCCCAGCTGAAGGATGCAAATGTGACTGCCTGTGTCACTGGCCCCCTAGAGAAAGTGCTCCTCACATTCTACCAGGTGACAGCCAAAGCAGGGAATAAAGTCTTCCCCTGTGCTGTGCCCTGCCAAAGATTTCCAGCTGTTCTGCATTTCCCATGCACTTGGGATAGCACTCTTTTTTTCCCAAAAGCTAAAAGACATCCTAAATAATCTTTGTGCATTTATTTTGAACAGTCTTTCAGTGTTGATCTCCTCTCCACCATATACCCCAGACAGGGTCCTGTGATGCCAAGGAATGAGGTGTCCACACTCGGGTATGCCATGGCTCTCCTGCACAGGTGGGATGGCCACACTAGCCATGTCTACTTTATCCCTCTGGACCCAACTGACTATGAGTGGGGGTCCACACTCCTCTTCTGCCAGACTCTCAGCACATGTTGCTTATGTTTCCCTGCTACAGACCAGCCTTTCCCCAGTGCCTTTGTATGGGGGAACATTTCTGTATCTTGGCCACTTCCTTATTGGGGGAAAATCTTCTTTTAAAGTGTTTGCCAGTAGGCATTACTGCAAGAGCAGCAACTCCCATCGGTCCTGGACATACACTGTTACACCAGGAGATATATTTCTTTCATTTGGTATAAATAAAACCTAATAATTCATTCACCCTCTAAGCATGCAAAAATAAACCGTAGAAACAATTCATATTGCATCTACAGCTAAACAAACTCTCTTGGGTTCCACTGTTACCCAAACAGTACCCTCCAGATTCATTCCCTGTGGGTTGGCAGTGGCTCAGGGCTTGCAGGCTTTCTCAGAGGATTGGTTCTGATGCAAAATCAGTCTTCTTGTTGAGACCTTGCAGTCTCTTCACGAGGCTCCTGAAAAAAGCCTAAAAGAACATCCAGAAGGCCTTATCCATCACTGGACTGTCCTGGGCTGCAAGAGGAGAGTGGATCCGAGATGGGCTGGCTTCCAGGTGATGATTGTTCCCACCTCCTAGGAACAGCTTGCAGCAGCCTTGCCAATTGCTGGGATGCATCCCTAAATATAGGAAGGTTTCAGGCCTTAAAATGTGATGCAGAAGATTAAGAGATCTTCCTTTTAGGGATAAAAGTGTAGTGACATTTCATGGAAGTAGTATATCAGCTTTGAGAACCAAGGCATGCATTGTTTTAATAATAAAATATAAGAAGATAAAACAAAGACTAACCACGGGAGCAGAAGAAACTGGCATGTAGGTTATGTTCTGAAAATCTCCCCAGTGAGGCTTCAGATGTGCTCTGTTGCCATCACCCCCCTTGAAGATTCCTTCAAGGCTGTACTAATACATGGATCATGCATGTGGTTGTTACCACAGGCACATATCTAATCAAACGGGGCCTAATTATGTGCATTACCCAATTTGGCACTTGGAGAGCACTTCAGTGATGATTCTTCTGCTTGTCTGACAAATAACATGATTATTCAGTAGGCTGTATATGTTTTAATTTTCCATTTTTGTCTGTTGATAAGGAACTGTTTAGCTAATGAAAAGCTATTTGCAAAGGCATAGCTAATATTAGCAACCAGATTCAATTCATTATGTTTAATAAGCTAATAAATATATTTAGGGCTCTTTGTGCTATGCTCAGTCACCTTTAGAAAACACTTCATCATTAGTCTCCGAAAATGAAATGGTCTCTTTTTTCAAAGATGAGAGCACTTTACAAACTTCAGTTTAAGATTATAAATTACAATGCACTTTGCTTTAAAAATAGATTTAAAAAATTATTCCGGTCTCTAGCTTTAAGATTGAAATCAGATTATTTATATATGTCTCAGATTTATGGGAGAAGCAAGGAATTTTTCAGGAAAATGCCAGAAGTAAGTTGGTGATGCTCATTCTTATGCTCTCACTAAATTAAAAAAGTGTAAAAGATTGGTGCTTCTTCCACCCTGCTACAACACTCCCTGGCACAAGCAGAAAACAAGGCTTTTCCTGGGACATCCATGGAAGGAGGGAGACGGAGGACAGTGGGATGGGTAGTGACAGAGGCTGCAAAGCTGAGCCGGGCTTTAAATCATCTGTGACAACAAATTGGGAGACAAGATGGAAGCCTGTCAGACTTGGGTCAGCAGGAGTCAAGCTTTCAAGGACATGAGACTGGGAGAGTTGGGGCTGTTCAGCCTGGAGAAGAGAACGCTCTGGGGAGACCTTATAGCAGCCTTCCAGTAACTGAGGGGCCTACAGGAAAGCTGGGGAGGGGCTTTTTACTAGGGTTTTTAGTTATAGGACAAGGGGCTTTAAACTGGAATAGAGTAGACTCAAGTTAGACATTAGGAAAATATTATTTACTGGGAGGGTGGTGAGACACTGGTACAGATTGCCCAGGGAATTTGTGGCTGTATCCTCCCTGAAAGTGTTCAAGGCCAGGTTGGATGGGGCTTTGAGCAACCGGATCTAGAGGGAGGTGCTGCTGTTCATGGCAGAGGGGTTGGAACTAAGTTATCTCTAAGGTCCCTTCCAACCCAAACCATTCTATGATTCTGTGAGTGAACTTACCTGCACAGCTACTACTGCATACATCTCGCTTTTCCTCTCTCTTTCTGCCAACTCCTTATTTGCATGATCTCCTAAGTATATTTGAGGAAAGGGTATGGAAAGGCCTCTCTGGATTTTGTTCTCACCCCATGTTGTTTTACCTTCCATCTTCATCACACCTGCTCAGCCACCAGGAGAAGCATGCACAGTCACTGGGAGAACAAGCCAGTGTGAGCAGCTGCTTCCTTCCCCTCTTCCACGCACTGAACAGATAATGCGAGGAGAAAGAGAGCTTACAAATCAGCAGGTGTCCAGAAGCACACCACTTGCTGTGCTTTTCTTCCTATGAGAAGGATCCTTCAAGTCTGCAAAAGACAAATATGGAAAGCATGGCATTAAGATGATGGGTACAGGAATGAAGCAAACTGTTGAGCTGCAAGGGAACTGGCAGAATAGGAAATCACCCCAAACATTAAGTCTTTAGCTAACAGTAGACAACTGCAATCAGTTTTCAGTGACCAGAGACAGCAATAACTAGGTAAGACATGGCAGGGGGGCTCAGGAAGTACCCAATGGCATGACCCATGTGATGTCCTGATAAGAGATCACCGACACAAGCACAAGCTGTGGCAGGCTGGCTTTTGGGAAATTTTTCTGGAAACCCACTGGGGAAGCCAGTCACTACTCAGAGAGAACAGATGATGACCCTCTGCACATGCAGCCCTAGTGCAGATGGGTGAAAGACCCCCAGGTCAGTGCCAGTTGCCTGCTGTCATCAGCACAGATACCATGCCCTGATCACCAGTCGGGGAGTCTGCAAAGGAACAATTTAGCTGGTGTGGCCATGCTGTGTGGAGAGGTGGTGCTTCTGCTCCAGCCAGTCAACTAGCACGTGAGTGAGCCAGAATGACTTGTGTTTGTTTGGCTGTCACTGAAACACTTAGGTTAGATGCCATTTTTGTATAATTAAAGCATCAGTAGTAAAACATGTAACAGTAGTTGGAATATGGGTATTCTAGAAAAGGGTGGGATCATACCATTCAATATTCCCTGCTTTGGTAATCATCCAATTCAGCCAGGGGTCTCTGTGCAAACTGATCTCGAAGTTCCCAGCTTCCACTGCTCTGCGGCACCAGGCACCACACGGCCTCTCCTCCCTCCCCCAGCCCCCCACATCATTAAAAATAATTAAACTCTTGTCCCGTGGTGTCCAGGTGTCACAAGACACCTGGTAAGTCTCACCTCTAACTATCCGCTCAGCTGTGCTGGAATAGCAGTGCTGCAGATGCTGCCCGTGGGGCTCAGCCCGCTCCCACCAAAGTGCCGGGCTGGTGGGGCACCCCCAGCTCTCCCCAGCTTCTCAGGGCACCGTGGGGAGCCACAAGTTAATCAGCAGTGCCCCGCCATAGGTCAGCACACCCAGCTATCTGTATTTTCCTTTGTTTGTCATTTTCCATCAGCCTCCATTTTCCTCCAAACCTCTTTGGTGTACCAATTAATCCAGAGGGTTTTCATTTACTCAGGCTGTCCAAAGCAGCAATACACAAATACCCCCCACAATCCCTGCCAACAGCTCGTAATACATTTTAACTGCTCCCTGGCCTTTGATGTGTGAGCCTTCTGGGCAACATTATCATTACCCTTTATATACCTCCGTAGGTGAGTGCAGCACCTCGCATGTGCTAAGTGCGAGCCAGGGTTTGCTTGTGCCTGAAATAAAGGGCCTTGTCCCAAAAACCAGGTGAGAATCGTGCCCTCTCTGCTGACAAACCCCTGAACAAGGCCCAGATAAACAGCGATCATATCCTGGGCTCTGGAGAGCTTGTTTTCAAAGGGGAAGAGCAAGTATAGGAAGGAACAGGACAAACCAAAAGAGGGCTTCCCTGGGGAGAAGCCTTAGTGGGAGAAAGGAGTCCTGGTGGAGTCTGAAAGTGTGAGCACCGAGTCAGGGCAAGCAGGTCGTGTCCCTCGCACACGGGCATGTGCTGGAAGTAAACACACCGTTCTAACAGAAGCATCAGATAAAGCCCAATTCAGGAAAACGTGAAGGGAAATTCTTAGGGAGCTAGGGGCACTGCAGTCCCAGACTGGGACATTCTTCACAACTTCGGAGCCATTTACAGTTTTGAGGGCTCTCTTCATGGAAATAGTTACAATTGCGCTTCTCAGGGAACATAAATCAGCACGGTAGGCATCAGGCTGACGATTTGGAAGGGCACTGAGCCCAGCTAGGAAAATGTGAAAACATTCAAAGCCCTGAAAACTGAGTTGGAGATGGTACAGGTTAGCCAAAGGTGTTCCACAGTGACCACACAAGTCACCGGTGCTTGCAACAGGGGGGGAGGAGAAACAAGCTGCCTGTAATAAACTACATTTGTAGGCAACTATGGGTACATGATGCACACGGCGGGGCCAGCAGGAGGTGGAGCTGAGCAGTTTTTAAGGGGTGTTGTCAAGGTCCCCAGGCCCAGCTAGTCAGGCTGGCCTTGCCCAGCCAGGCTGTAGCCTCTAAACTTTCCTAGTGCTCTTGCCACCTTCTTTGACAAAAGGTGACAAACAGCTCCCCGAGTCTCTGTGCTCATCCTGCAGCTGCAGAGCAAAGCTCTGCTCACCATTGCCCTGCTCTATCCAGAAACTGATAGTTTATTTCTTATCATTCCAAACTATCTGTGATTGAGCAGGCCAAAGCGTAATTTCTGTATTGCAGACTGGACTGAAGGAGACAGAGAAAGGGGCTAATTGCTACATGTTGCTGTATTGATCTCCAAAACAAGAACGAGCCCTTCCCCACTCCCTCTGAAAGCACTGGGGGATAAATAGATCAGAGCGATGAGCTATTAAAATGGGTCCAGGGGGGACCTGGTTTCAAGCAGGGCTTGGGACACCAAACAATAGGCTGCCATTTTGCAGCAGCCAGAGCCCTGGGTACCCCTGACAACATGGCGGGAAACACTGTCAGGGAGTGTGACCCTTGATTGCAAAACAAACGGGCCCCTGAGAGTTCATTGTGCAGCGGCTGCTGACGTGCAAAGCCAGCCCTGAAAAACATAAACTGTCCTTTCTAAAAATATAGGAGCAGTGCCTGAGGGAGAGCTGCTCAGGGCCGGAGAAACAGAAGGAAGAGATCAGCGCTGTCTCTGCGTCCCAGCTGGGTTTTTGGGAAAGCGCTGTGCCTTTCCCTGCCGTGCCACGCAAACACAGCCACCGTGCCATGCAAACACACCCCTAGAGGAAAGAGCCCCTCACCTTCATGAGCCCTCAGGAAAGTGCATCCCTGCAGCAAGTTTTGCAGGCTGGGGATGTTCCTCCAAGCAGAGCTGTCGGTTTACAGAGGAGGAGCCACGCGCCCCGGCTGCAAGTTAGTGGGGAACAAGGGGTGCTTTTGCCACTGGGGAGCTCCCCAAGTCTCTCCCTGGCAGGACAGTGGGCTTTGAGGCCTTGGAAGAGTGGCCTGGCAAGTCTGAAGCATGTGGCCAGATGGATCCATGCAGGGCAGCCTGGTGTCTGCCACTGGGGCAGTCCCAGCCAACCACCTCCTCCAGCTGCCCTTCCCAAGCTCCCAGAGGCGGAGAGGGGTCCTCAGCCGCAGGAGAGGCCAGCCAAGAAAGAGGGACAGAAATGGTTAACGTAGCTGGTAAATAAAATTCCCACTAGAAAAACATGATCTGGGCAGAGAAAAGCATCCTTCCCAGCACTGCCAACCCCACATACTCCAGAGAGTCACAGCTTTAAAATCACAAGGGGTTTTGTTCTAGTTTAAAGAAAATTATAAATGTTTGAGCTTCTCCTAATTGCACCCTGGTTTCTTGAACTTTATGATCACATTTTCAAACTTTTTCTCCAAATCCCTAAGGGCTACAAACTTTTACATTTTTATTATAAAATAAAGTTGAGAAGCTCACCTAATGCCCACAGCTTTGGGGCAAACAGCAAAGATCAAAAGACTTACTCTAAAACGAGGAGAATAGGAAATACTGGAGATCTCAAGAATGAACACCCTGCAGCATATATGTCTCTTAGCATTTTTCTCCAGTGTAGCACAAAAACACTTTTAGCAGATATTTTGCCAGTTTATCAAACATCACATTACTTAAGTACTTCATTGGCCAGCATGAAGAGCAGGTCTTCAGTGACACTTTGCCTCCCAGAGCGATGTTGTCTGCAGTCCAGGGCTGCAGAAAAGTCAAAACTCAGGCTTCTGTCCTGGGCTAAGGGAACCAGAGGAGCACACAGCTTCCAAGAGCACAAGGTGTGCTTGGGGTTGCTGCAGTTAACGGGGCAGGGAAAGTTGGAAAATATCATCCAAGGTCAAACCCAGGCCTGACCTTCCATCTTTAGCCTGATCCATACAGAAACATACTGCCCAAAAAGGGCAGGTGAGTGCCATCCAATCTACTTATTTCGTATCTGAAGGCTCTGAAATAACTGCCACATGTCTTTACAGGGATACCTGTGTTAAGGGGCAGATTGTCTCTGGTAAATGTATCAGCCAGTGAAGAGCTCAGTGATCCTCCAAGATGAAAGGCTGTGAGTGCAGACTCACTATATAGTTCCTCTTGAAAGGATCTGGCTTGTAACTGCCTGATTATCGATTGCTGCCTTGAAGAGAACGTGATCCTCTTTTTTGCAGTAAGCTTTGTTTACTGTAACACTTGCTGAAACATCCTCTCGTAGAGCTAATGGTTTCCTTTGGTTGCTGTCAGAATGAACAAATGGAAATAAAAACATGCCACTAATAATTTTGTCCCACTCTAATTAAAGCAAGACAAAAGCATTGCACTTCTGGGTTTGGCTCTCCATTGCCCTGGTGCTTGGACAAGCCTGAGCACAGGAACTGACCACAAGAATGCTAATAACTGAAAGACAACGATGCCTAATGCATCAATGGAACTCAAAGTCATGAGGTTTCCATCAGCCCAGAAACTCAGCAAAACATCCAGGACAAGGAATATGTTTGGTGCCTGGGTCCAGCTGCCCAGAGGTGCTGCTTTTGGCAGAGCTCATCCCATGTGGGCCAGAAGAACTGCAAAAGATGAAGGCAGATG